CTGATAATCCTTTATCTTCGTGGATCTTAGCAGGAACAGCTTGGATACCACACAATTAGGTGCCAAGCTTCGTATCCCAAGCTGCACCTGGAGAACCGTTCTAGGCGGACGTACAATAGTATTTATCAATTTTCCTGCTATATGACCGCAGGACCATACCCGTCAGATTCAAAGCAACTAATATGCCATCTGTACTGGATGTGATGATGCAGAGTTAATCGTCGACCCCACCCCTCTTTGACCGCAGCGATCGTGTTGTCCCACTCTTCGAATTCATAGGTTATGTGGAATGCCACCCGGAAACTATCGACGCAAGCGAAAGGATTATGCGCTACGATATACTAGCTCAACTATGTGTGTCATCCAAGCAGACATTTCTGGCGGACGAGACACTGGTTGGCGCATGCCAACCGGTTAGTCAACAAGTTTAACACCGTAGTTCCGGAAGCATCAGAAGTTAGGGATGTCCACCCAAAAAACCTGGTTTCGTTTGTGCGAAGAGAGACATACAGCTGTGTAGCGACGCGAATCTTAGTCTGACAAACTTATAAGCACTCTTCGAGCACTGACATCTGGGTGGCGCATCTGATACAGCATAACCGCTTTACGCAACTTGTTCGTGAGGGCAAAATGACACACCAGCAGAAACTGGCGCTGCGTATTATTTTAACGCACAAGCCGCTGTATCAACATGTGAATAGTCTAGGTAAGATGAAACAGCCTATGGACTGACACTTACCTAATACGATGCGGCAAATACCATGCGCCTGCAATAGGCCCCAGCTAGTTAGTGCAGACAGTGGCCATCTAACCCTATGGCAAATGTCATCTCACTCCCGAACGCACTCATTATCACTACAAAAAGTATATAACACAACGGTTGTGTATAGGTAAGCACTGATCCCCGGGATTTGGTAACATTCCAAGAAGTAATTTGCGGGGGTAGGAGAGGGCTTAGCTAAGATTTGGTTCGAATCTTCCAACACTCTCTTGACAATGTATGTGTCAGGCATATGAATCCACGAGAGGATTACTTCTATTACGCCAACGACCATGCAGTAACGCTACTAAAGTTACATTCTATAGTCGTGGAAGCCATTACTGCTGGTGCGCTAACGACCTACTTGAGTCAAAAGAACGCGACATCCAACGAAATCCATCGCGCGCTACAAATGTACCGCTAGGACGTTCAAGTAAGAGCTGTGCAAAAAACACTGTATGCTTTCTTGCCTTGTCAAAGTTAGTCGTCCGGTCGAAATATGAACTCTTCAAACTCCAGATCATCCGTTCTCCTCTCTTACTGTGTATCAGCAGCTTACTATTACAACGGCACTTAGAGGTAAATATGTATGAATATCTCTCAGATCTCATCTAGTTTGAAGGTGGAGTAACAGAACAATCAGTACTACGAACACGGGGTTTTGATTTCCATCAACTATTATAAGGGGCTCATTAGTTTGAACGCTATTCTCAATGTCGATGACGTCCATGTGAGGACGAAGATCAATACACCGGTTAACACCACATTAATTCAACCCTATTCGGATAATTCTTACATGTGGCTATTCTAGATTCAACTTTGGTGGAATGTGGACAATCTAATGTACTACACTGTAAACTGTGGCATAAGCTACCGTGCCTAGCCAAATTCCTCTACCGGGAATTTAAAACCTCTTTTGGTGAATAGGATCTAGGCGTTTTGGTCCATGTTTACCTTGAATTTCAAACCAGGCTGAACAGACTTCAAGAAAATACATCCGACACGTGGGCTTCTGCGGCGTACATTCGGACCACTTGGTTCGCGGCTTACAAATACGTCCACTGTGGTAAACTATATTCCGGTCAGGCAATCATGGTCGAGGAGAGGTTTCACCTCCTTGGAGTTAGCCAAAAAGCCGGGAAAACGTGAATGTTAAATGCTGGTATCATTTCTCGCATGACCAAATGTTTCCACTGCTCGTTGTTTTTAGTTGACCATACCGGAGATTACGTGGGGACGTTAGTTGGACTTACCAGCTTTTAAGAGATACCAAATGCACGTATCGCTATTTGCTAGCGACTATTTACAGCTGTAATCTGAGATGCTAGTAGCTCAAGCAGACAGAGTGGTACAATCACCTGGAATGCCATCGGAATATCTTTTCTATATGCTATTGCCAAACTTTGAACGTTCTTCCGGAATCTGTCATCTAGGCGCTTTTGCTGGTAGTGTTCGAAACCCGAGATAACAGTGTACCTAATTAGCAGCACCATCTCATATGGCTCATTCCTCAAAGCTTAACACCCTTGTCTGCAAGACAATTCACAGTCGGTCAACGCCCAGAATACGTTCCGCCTTTTATCTGCTTCATGTATTCACCAAAGTGACAAAGTATTTTTACCAACCTTGCATTTGTAATCATTCATTCTGTACTTACACTGAAATTGCAGTTATAATACGCATAACTTAGTGTGCCACGTGTGTTCACCTATCTTTGTAGAGACTTTCTTCGTCTCTCTCTCTTTTCGTCGAAAGGATATCAGTCACCAGATTTCCAAAAAAACATCTGACCCAGGAATTTGCGAAGCTGAATGCGGTATGTTCTTGCATTTGGGCAATATCTGCTTGTAGTTGGTAGAATATTACATACGACACCATAGCTTACTAGGAAGAAATTGGATTGGATAGATGTCTTGGTTCGCGGCACAGCTAATGCACTCTTCTTGTTGAGCATTTTCCGACTGAAGTTATGTTGTAATTTTGGTGCGCGCAGACTGAACTAAGTCTTTTGGTTGATAAGGTTGTGTATCAGCCTAAGGTCATGTTTAAGTCGTCGCAACAAAAGGGGCTCGAGCTTGAGCCGTTGGCAGCGCTCCTGGTAACACAGTTAGTTGATTTACTAAACAATTGCTTGGTGAATGATCTTTGCAGGTTTTCCAAAGCGTTTCTGTCACCCAAACCTGTTTCCATAAATGATGTGACAATGTTCAAGAACTGGAAGTGTAAGTATTTTGGAAACCTCTACCCTGGCATGGGTTGTGCGATTTCCGGGCGACTTTGTATTCACTATTCGCGGAGCATCCATTCGACCATGTTGTAGGTGCACAGTAGCTATTACATCACTCGAAACAGTGGCTTTAGTTGCAGTTACCCATAGAGTCGCTGCAGTCGGACCTTTTCGGAGAGGTTGACCCAGTGGATGATCGCTTGCATGATAGTATCATAATTTAAATGAGGTGCGGTCCAAGTTTTGATGTCTGTCACCTGAGAGCATATATTGTGTTGCAATCAACAGATGAGCTAACGCTATTTCACGCAACCAAAGAAAGTTTAGAACTGCGATATGTGGGTTCTAAGTGTGCATACAAACTACAAAAGGCATCCACACAGCAAGTTAGGCAGGCCAACACTGTTTCACTAACCGAGTCCTGAATGACTTATCCAAAAACCATTCTTTGTTAGAAGTGTATAATAATATACGGAAGGTAAGAATACAAAGGATAAGAAATTATGAGTCACAACCTATATCGAATGAGCTCACAAATGTGAACATTTAAAATTACCCGTGGCGCGTTCTGGGTCGCGGTAAACAATTGCTCAGTGTGGCATGGGATACAAATTGGCAGCAGTGCTACGTAATATACGTACCAAATATGGGACGGTGAAAAATTTAGGGAGGTGCGGATCCAGCGTGTATTTCACAAGCAACAAATCATGGGAAGCAAACAGCAAGAGCAAGGAATGCGTAATGCGGAACTCAAGAAAGGGTTTAGTGAAGGCATGTGTACATTCTCTAGACTAAGCGGAAGTTGCAATGGTTCAACAGAACAGTAAAATTCCATTTTGTAAAATAATGTAGGAAAAAGTATTTAGGTGCACTATAGACTTCCAAGTTTTAACAAACTTACTAAGTTTAGTGCGTTTGTGAATATTCATTCACACGATTAGCGGGGTCTTCATATTTGGCCGTGTTATGAATTGCTGTTATACACAAGTATCACTAAGGTATAGTTGTATTGTTCAATGTCTGGATGATAATTGCAGTCATATAAATGCGTCGTCCTGTAACGCACGTAATTATCAGTAAATTTACACACTTTTGCCAACCGTTCCGTTCCGGATCACTCTACACGGGCACGGAGTAATAAACATTTCAGCTCGTTTTCTTTAGACCATCTGTTCGTTTTTATATTATCAGGTATTATGTCACAAATCGCGTCAGCATCACCTATTGCCACCACATTATAAAAATTTGGACGTCCTCATGAATATCAAGTTAGAATTTCCTCCGCTTAGTCTATACAGAATAAATAGAAAAATTAAAAGTAATGAAAATAAAATGTTTGGAAGTATTGCAGCATTTTCAACCGATTCGCTAGCGCATTATGCGAAGGTTGAAAGTCAGAGCAAAAGAGTCTGTTACTTGGAACCCCAGTTGCGCCATTCATTGAAAGACACGGTCTCATGGCAAAAGAATATGTTAAAAATAGTTACCATAATATTGAGAACATCTAAAACATCGAAAATGCATAGGCCTATGGCATGCGGCCTTCCCAATCTTAAAGAAGTTTGTCATTAAATTTGGAAATTGTTTTCCTTAACAAAAGTACATTAGTCTGAATTCATGTATCATTAAAGAACAAAGTAACGGCTAAATTGAATGATGCTTCGTGATATGCATCAAAAATCCAATGATAGACTATGGACAAGGAGGAAACATTGTGCAACTTGTTTATATACTGTAAAGTCTAGGAAATGTAAAATCCGATGCGGTTAAAATATAGTGACATAAATAAACTTGTGTTTAGGAAAAGAAAGCTTAAATTAAAATTAGATGTTACGCAAAGCTATTGGAACCGAACACTTATGGTTGTTCATAGGTCACATCAGAAGTTTACCATGATACGTATAACCTTTAAGGTTTCTGTTTATAAACACAGTACATTTTGTCAAGCACTATTTTGATGTTGTGGAGATTTCGAGCAGTTCATGAGGAACATCAAATGTCGCTTCTTTTTAGAAGTTAAAAGAAACCTGACAGAGAGAATAAAGCGTGCGCCCGAACGAGGTGGACTGCCTGATACCACTGCAGGTGAGACTGGAATTATGTAAACCGTATGCACTCCACAAAACTGCAGTTTACCATTGCACTTAATTGACTGCTGCTTTGATCATTCGCTAATGGTTGTGCTATGTGACATTTCTTTAAAATACTTTGTATGAATAATGCGGTTGTGCAAGTGAATTTGAAAGCTAGGAAAGATCAGCTTGCTTTATCTTGCTGATTGCGTCCGTAATATAAAGTTGTCATTTGATTTTTCTTCAATTATCGTGCTATTTACGGATTGAAGAAAGAAGGGATTCAACATTTCAGCCATTAAGATTGCCACTTTGCTCAATATGGTTGTTGTAGAAAAGTAGCAGAAGCGTTCAATGCATATTAACTGGTATCGTATATGCGCCAAACTCCTGCAGCTGCATACCGGACTCGGGTAAATTCATTAACGGTCACTGGACATATCTGGTCAGTTCACTTACACGAACCATGCAGCTCAATGGCGAATTCAGGATGAACTGCTGAACTAGTTGACAAATCCATAAAAGGTGAAATAAATCTTACCGCAGAAGTTAGCAAATAGCAAGTGCGCTGTGGTCGAGAAGAAGCCAGACACATTATGTGTTACTCAGAAGTGCAACTCTAACCGTTTGAACACATGAAATGAAAGTTGACCATTTCCTCTGTTGAAATGAGCCGAATCTACTGCGAAGGGTATTAACGTATTATTCCACTTTTCTGCATCTCGTACGGCACGGGGAACAAACTGATCAAATTCATCGCGATATTTGAGTAAACTCAGGTTTGTAAAGACGATTGCTATTATGACTGAACGAAACCGATGCTGAGCCTGAGCAAGCGACCCGAAATTACAAAGCGGCTCTAATACAATGTAAGTCGGTGCAATTTTGCCCTGTCGACGTGGAACAATTAGTTTACTTTATGGCTTGCCCCCTACTATTAGGTTCAATGGAGCAACGGAATTCCTGGCAATTCTCGTGGGATGGTTAGAGTGAAAATCGTAAGATATTAAACAGCGCCAGTGAAAAGCGCGCAATATATATTTATTACTAAGTGGTTTTTAGTAGCACATGTGCCACTATTCTTTCCTGCAGGTTGCAAATTGTATGACACCGCCCACTGTTGGTTGTTCACTAATGTCATCATATGGAGGTGATGGGCTACGTCAGGTGGATTAAGAGTGACAGGGTGTTGTCAAGACGTATTTTGAACAAGGTTAGTGAAAGAGGCATTAATTACATGCCTTCTACAACAATGAGTAATACTTTTACAATAGTACGATGCCGAAAAATCTCAATTGTGTTGGCATATTTTCAGCAGCCGGGCGTCTAGCACAAGATGTACGTAATTTGCGTGCTCAGATGACGATTACTGTAGAAAGGGAAAGCGAGATCATGCCTCCACCGACACAAAGGAACACATGGTTTGCGAGTGCGTTTACCTCAGTAAAAGCAATTAGAGAAACGTTGAGATTACCTCAGCAGAACCATTTAAACAACTAAATGCTTCTGAGTTTGTTGGATTATTTATTCCCAAAATTCACAAACTTGTCATGGTGCATTTCAAACGGTATGCGGATTATACATGTTTGCTTGAATGTAGAGAGCACTTTGGCATACAAATCGGTGCAACCGCACGATACAAATAAATGACATCTTAGTTTGTTGAATACCCATGGTTAGAATTGAATCCATTCACATGTTGCGGATAGAAGTATATATATATATATATGTATTGTCTTTTGAACTGGTCAGATAATGCTCACTCCGTAACGACAGAAATGAACTCAGAACAAAGAACTGTAACTGGTAAGTCAATAAGTTAGAATCATGACGTCTAACTACGGTGTTAAAAGTTTGGTTCACGATTTCAAACAATTCAAAGGCACTTCTAACAATTCACAAACTAAGTACTACTATATATGCTTATCAATTTGATATCAAAGATCCTACATTTTCGGTCTCGTTTCCTGATTCCAAAATAAATATATACGTATAGATGTAGTTGTCCTATTCGGTGTTTCATTGATCAGTATATCCAACGTCTGCTGTACCGAACGTTCTTTGCACTAAACTTGTAACCCTTTTCCGTGTTTGCCTATCCAGGCTACTCCATACTTCCAAGGATTTATCAACCAATGCAATACTTTTCTGTACTTTAGCGCAGTCTTAGTTAAATTTGTCAGTTTTTAGTACTTACTGATTTAGTACAATCACAGCTTCTTAGTTATATGCGCTTTATCTCAAAGACACCGCCGTATTCACATTGTGGCGGGAAGGGTTTGTGACGAACTTTCAGCGGTACAATTAAGCATTACTTCAATACCTCATAAGAAAAGCAAGACCATGAAATGCAAAGAAACATAAACTCTACACTGGTACGCAGTGCAGGGTAACCACCACATTCCACAATTTGGCTATGCATACCGCCAGAGTCGTCCTACTCCTAAGAATGGCTCTAGCAGATGCCATCAAATTACAAGACCAGCTTGTTACCTTTAGACTACGGGCTGTCTACCGTGTTTCATAAGTATGTCCAAACTATCCATGGAAATATAAAAAATGATAAGGAACTTGAGTGGGATCGTTCGCAGCGTCAAACATGCTGCTCTCTCCATGTAACAGATAACTTACAAACTTTGTTGTCAGCAAAACGATCCAGCCTTAATCTTATGATCTACTCCGAGACAAATCACTCAATGAGCACCATCATCTGTAGATAGCACGACAGCTAGCACGGAATTAAAACGGGTGATGCCATGTAATGCACCTGGTCGAAAGCAACCATCGACTATTGTTCCAAAGAATAGGTCTAGGTTAGACGAAACTGGAATTTTATTCAATTCAAACAGCCTTTGGACTTCGAAATGAATTGGAATATTGGTAGTTCGGTAGGCTTGCTCGGTTTTCGTGGAGTTCTCCGGGCCGGGCAACTTGGTTGCAGACGTTTCGCCACCATTTGAGGTGTCATCTTCGTTGCGGGTTTGATAGCAGTGAAGTAGCAGTGGCTGGTAGAAGGCAAACCCAATAATGGATACTGTCGGTAACTACTCCGTTCCTTATATAAGCATATGAGGCTATTAATTTTGCCTCGATCTCATTGGGGAATCCTTGTGTTCAGCAGTTGTGCTCGAGGCAATATCATTGGCTGCGGAAATGTCGTTGCGATGTGGTTGGGCTTATCGTTCTCAGATTTGTGCAGGAGAGGTGGATGAGTAGTCTGGGCTCATATTGACCATGCTGTTCTTTGTGCGTATGTTGCATTAGGTTCATTTGGACAACGGTTTTTTATCCTCTTGAAATCTCTCTGTCTCAGCGGTTGATATATTGGATCGAAGTCGATATGCATGTTGATTGAGTTCGTAGTGGAGAACCAGGCTTCAACAAACTCCCTCCCTTTTTGTGTTTCTCCTCCGGTCGAGATCTCTACCTTGTTCCAGTCGAACCTGTGTCCCTCTTCATCCACGTGTGCTGAAACCAATGAGGTTGCGTAATGCTTCTTGCACGCTATTTGGTGTTCATGTATACTGGTGGACAGCTTTCTTCCTGTTTGTCCCACATAATGCTTTTCACAGTTTGCGCAGTTTATTCTATATATGACATATCGTCGTTCTAGCGTCTCTCGTTTTCCTTTTGGTTTTGACAATGTCTTCCTCAGAGTAGCGGTTGGCTTGTGGGTTACCATGATATGATGTTGTTTGAACAATCTGGCAGCCATTTCTGACAGGTTCTTTATGTACGGCAGAACTATACGTTTTGTCATAGCTGAATACTCATCCACATCTCCTGCATTAATCCGAGTACGATAAGCCCAACCACATCGCAACGACATTTCCGCAGCCAATGATATTGCCTCGAGCACAACCGCTGAACACAAGGATTCACAAATGAGATCGAGGCAAAATTAATAGCCTCATATGCTTATATAAGGAACGGAGTAGTTACCGACAGTATCCATTATTGGGTTTGCCTTCTACCAGCCACTGCTACTTCACTGCTATCAAACCCGCAACGAAGATGACACCTCGAATGGTGGCGAAACGTCTGCAACCAAGTTGCCCAGCTCGGAGAACTCCACAACAACCGAGCTCTTGGACTGACGAGTACCTAATAGGATGCGGCAAATACCATGCGCCTGCAATAGACCCCAGCTAGTTAGTGCAAATAGTGGCCACCTAACCATATGGTAAATGTCGTCTCACTCCCAGACGCACTCATTATCACTACAAAAAGTATATAACACAACTGTTGTGTATAAGTAAGCACTGATCCCCGGGATTTGGTAACATTCCACGAAGTAATTTGCGGTGGTAGGAGAGAGCATAGCTAAGTCTTTGTTCGATTATTCCAACACTCTCGACCAAATGTATGTGTCAGACATATGGATTCACGAGAGGATTATTTCTATCCAGACAACTATTACCCCGTAACCATTCTAAAGTTACTTTCAAAACTCGTGGAAGCCATTATTGCTGGTGCGCTACCGGCCCACCTGAGCCAAAACAACGCGACACCCAACGAAATCCATCGCGCTCTACAAATATACCGATAGGACGTTCAAGTAATAGCTACGTAGAAAACACTGTATGCTTTCTTGCCTTCTCCAAGTCAGTCGGCCGGTTAAAATATGAACTCTTCAAACTCCAGAACATCCGTTTTCCCCTCATCAGCAGCTTACGCTTACAACGGAGATTGGAAGTAAATATGTGTGAATATCTCTCAGAGCTCATCCAGTTTGAACGTGGAGTACCAGAATGCTCAGTACTATGACCACGGGGTTTTGATGTCCATCAACAATTTTAAGAGACTCATAAGTTTGAACTCTCTTCTCTATGTCGATGACATCCATGTGAGGACGAAGATCAATACACCGGTTAACATCGCACTACTTCAACCCTATTCGGATAGTTCTTACGTATAACCATTCTAGAATCTACTTTGGTGGGATGTCGACAATCTAATGTACTACACTCTAAACTGTGGCATCAGCTACCACGCCTACAATATCCTCTACCGGGAAGTTAAAACCTCTTTTG